ATTGAATTTACATATTTATTTGAATATTTTCTTTCAGACTTCCTGGCAGGATCGCATGAAGAAATCAAGAAGGAAGTATCTGGAGGCCCCGGCGAGAAAACATTGATGTGTTGTCCCCTGTTTGCTGGCAGCAGAAAAGGTAAGTAAGTGAAGATAATGAAATTTGCATATTTATTAAAATATTTTCTTTTCTTTCAGAAGTTTTGGGAAAGCTGTCATGTATTTATGTAAGCATCCACAGGAGACAAACAAATCGCGAACGTGCTGGTGTCTATGATCAGAATGGGCACGACCAATTTTCAATTTGAGTTGCGACTTGTTAAGGCAATGTTAAAGGAAGTACGACAAGAGCTCGATTTAGCACAAATGCCACGTCAGCAGAAATCGCCAGAACCGCAGCCAACAACATCCTCGAACACGAAGAAGGGTTTAAACTCTGCCTTTGCAAATTCTGAAGAACAGCCACTACGTCCAGGCGATCCTGGTTGCGTGGACCGTGCACGTGTACCCCTAATGTCAAATAAGGGCTACGTCGTATGACCGAAATCAACTGCCGAAGGAGAAATTTTCTCGTCTACGAAGCGTGAACCAAATCGTTTCGAAAATAATATAAAAAGTTGTTGGACGCTAAACGAAGGAAATGCTGAAGGTCAGCCCTTTCGTAATACATGCAATATATCTGTGTAATGTTGCAATAAGTTGTAATGTGACTCGTCGTATGTAATACTTAAGGTCACTAACTAATGTATCTATTATTAACGTAAATAAATTTCCATGTTTAATGTAAGTTATTCTATTCTACCATAAAATGAAAAATGTATTCCGATTTGTTCTGTGTTGTTTGAATGCATAATAAAAATGCTATTGTAATACTACAAGTAACACATACGCTGCGTAGAACTATGTACTTCCATTATTGAGAAAAAATCTGAAATTTTCTTCAAAAATCGCGGATATTTAAGCATATACTTATTTGAAAGTAAATTGCGATATAAAGTAGATGTATTTCTCAATGCTGAAATTCTCGTTACATGGTAGTTAAGAAACTATATTTAATTACAATATAGTAATTACAAAAAAAAAAAAGTAACGAAACGAAAAACCAAAATTAAGTTATTTAAAGTAAAATAGAGTCGTATGAATCGTTCATTCTATCAATTAAAAGATTTAGCAATAATATTATTAAAATAAAAAAAAAAATACGTGCAAGGGAATGCAGACGATATATTTCAAAATTACAATTAAAGGCAATAAAAAAAGTAGTAAAACTTTAAAATTTTTTTTTTTCTCAAAATAAAATCTGTTTATTTTAATAAATACATACTCAATTAATTAGAATAACGTAAATTTGCTTTAAAAAATGCCAACTTCGACTAGTGGTCTAGGGTTTTTTTTTTTTTTTTCTTTTCTCTTTTCGAAGATTTTCTGTCAGGTGGAATTTGCAATATTTATATGGTAGTAAGTGTATCGGAAAGCTAGGCTTCCGATGTGGCTAGGGAACTGTTGTGTTGAGTAGGGTGTGCATCCACGTTTTCCTCCTCGTAGGGTGGTAGTAAGACCAATTTGGCAAGCGGTCTTGTAACTTGGCCTTTTTCAGTGACGATGTCAACTACTCGCACTCGGGTATCAGCACCTGGGATGTATATTGACAATCCTACCCAATCTCCACTCATTCGGTGAAAAATTGTCTACCTTGATGACGACAAGCTCACCTGTCTTCAAATTAGTTTTTGGATGTTTCCACTTAATGCGTTTCTGCATTTCGTTCAGGTATTCGGTTTTCCACCTTTTGCAGAAGGATTGATGTAAGGCCTTAAGTTTTTGCCATCTATTTACGATAGAGGCACTGCTTTCATTTATATCCGGTTCTGGTGGGGCCATCAGATGTCCGCCGACCAAAAAATGTCCTGGAGTAAGTGGCTCCAAATCAGTAGGTTCGTTTGAGGCTGGGCTTAATGGTCGCGAATTAAGGCAAGACTCAATTCAGCATAAGAGTGTGTTAAACTCTTCAAGAGTGAATTTGTGCCCAGACGCAATCTTGCGAAAATGACTCTTAAAGCTTTTCACACCTGCTTCCCAAAGTCCGCCCATATGAGGAGCTGCAGCAGGTATGAAATGCCATGTAAGAGCTTGGTGGCTATACTTTGAGATAGCATTGTTGCGAGCATCGGCTATGAAGGCTTTAAGTTCGGACCTTAGGGATCTTGATGCTCCAACGAAGTTTGTACCATTGTCCGAATAAATATTCTTGGGGCAACCTCTTCTAGAAACGAATCTAGAGAGAGCTGCTAAAAATGATTGTGTCGATAAATCGGTAGTGGCCTCCAGGTGGATGGCCCTTGTTGTAAAGCAGACAAACAGACAGGCATACCCTTTGGATACACGGCATCCTCTTCCACGGTAGCTTTTTATTTCGAACGGACTCGCGAAATCTACCCCCGTATTCGTAAAAGCGCGTGAAAATGTGGATCGTTCGGACGGAAGTGCACCCATAAGTTGCGTCTGAGCGCGTTTTTTAAAGATCGTGCATGTCTTACAGTTGTGGATAATAGATCGGATCAAGTTTTTTACTCTTGGAATCCAATACTGAGCCCGCGTTAGCCGTAACATCAGCTGATTTTCTCCATGCAAAGAGACTTGATGAATAAACTGGATTATTAGACGAGACAATACGCAGTTGTATGGAAGGATAATTGGATGGCGCTCATTGTATTGCAAATCGAGAGACGCACCGAGACGGCCACGAGTTCTCATCACTTCATCTTTATCGAGGAATGGATTAAGAGAGATGATTTCACTTTTTGCATCGATGGGCTTACCGGATTTCAGACAACCATACTCTTGACCATATTTCTGCTTCTTCGTATTTATTATCAAACGTCTTGTCGTTGCTTTAATTTCTTCGGATGAAATTAAGCAAGACTTTTGTTGAAAAGAAGCCTTTGTGTTTGGATGAGTTCTTTGAGAGAATCTCATAACGTATGATAACACTCTCAAAGCTCTCGGCAAACTAGAAAAACGGTCAAGGATGTCGTTAGAATCCCCCTGTATTGTTGTACAAGCATGTACACGTACCTGTTTTTCCTCTATTGTCGTCTCGTAGTCATTTTGTCGTAATGGCCATTTGGATTGATCTTCTTGCAGCCAAGAAGGTCCCTGGCACCACAAGGTGTTTTCCACCAAATCCTGTGCCATAAGTCCCCGACTGGCTAAGTCTGCAGGGTTAGATCCTGAATCGACATGATTCCAATTTGCGTTGCCAACCTTTTCTATAATCTTTGTCACTCGATGGGATACAAACGTTGACCATGAACATGGTGGCTTGCGAATCCATGCGAGAACGATTGTCGAATCCGTCCATAGTTTAAGTTTAAGATGAGTCAGCTCCAGGTTGTTGACGACAGATTCAACTGTTTCGGCCAGTAATACGGCGCCGCACAGTTCCAGACGCGGTAAAGAGATAGTTTTGACAGGTGCTACTCTGGTTTTTGCCAATAGTAGGCTGACGAAAACTTCGTTGCTTGTCCTTACGCGCAGGTAGACCGTTGCTGCGTATGCTTTCTCTGATGCATCGCAGAAACCATGAATTGACACATCGTCCGTTGGCGAAAAGTGGACCCATCGTGGAATTTTAATGTTTTTTATATACCTGTGGTTATCCATGAATGTGTGCCAACGATCCAATGTGGTAGGAGATACAACCTCGTCCCATTGTGTACCTTCCAACCAAATATGTTGCATTATCATTTTGGCTGTGACGATTATCGGTGCTAGCCATCCTAATGGGTCAAACAGTTTGGCGATATCTGAGAGGATAGCTCTCTTTGTATATGATTCTGGGCTGAGTATGGGTTTTGTTTTGAAATAAAGAAGTCAGTATGCGCATTCCATCTTATCCCAAGAGCCTTGACATCACTTGTGTCTTCGAAGTCTAAAAACTCTTTGTTTAGCAAGTGGTCTTTTGGAAGGCCTTGTAAAATTCTTCCACAGTTGGCTGTCCATTTTCTTAATGGGAAACCTGCCGACTCCAATGCTGTCCCTAATCTCATTTCTAGCTTTAATTGCAGCCTCTATAGAGTGTCCACCTGCTAAGACATCATCAACATACATGCACTTCCTGAGTATGTTTGAGGCTACTGGTAGTGAGCTTTCATCGTTGTTAGCTAATTGGAGTAACGTCCTTATTGCCAGATAAGGAGCGCAGTTGATTCCGAACGTTACCGTCTTCAATTCAAAAATATTGGTTTGTTCGGTCGGATGGTTGCGGAAAACGATTCGCTGGTACTTCGTTTGATCAGCTTTCAACAGGATCTGGCGATACATCTTCTCAATATCGCTATTGAAGACATATTTAAATAAACGCCATCGCAGAATTAAAATGGTCAGATCTGCCTGAAGAACTGGACCGGGGAGAAGGATGTCATTCAGCGAAGTGCCGTTTGAAGTCGCTTGCGATGCATTGAACACCACACGCACCTTGGTCGATGTGCTCTCTTCCTTTTTTACGGCGTGGTGAGGCAGGTAATAGTTGTTACTAGAGTCGGCCGTTTGATTGGTATGTATCTTTGCCATATGACCCAGCTCAACATATTCATTTAACACTCTGTTGTATTCTTTTTGCAGGTTTTCGTCTCTGGACAACCGAGCTTCATTGCGATAAAACTGGGAGTACGCAATCTTTAAGGAACTACCTAGACTAATGTTGACCGGATAGTCTTTCCTGAATGGTAGCGATACAACGTATTTCCCGTCTTCATTTCGCTTCGTTGTCTCTTTATAGAGCTCTTCACAGTACCTTTCCTCCTCGCTTAATTTCTTTTCCTTGGAGATCTCTTCCAATTCCCAGAACGAAGCTAACTGCTTTTCCAGCGATATTTCGTTATAATAAGAGACGCAAGTGTTGGTTGGCTTAATTGTATTAGCACGCCCTGTGACTATCCAACCGAACACTGTCTCTTGCGCAAGAAGTGATCCCAGCACGTTCTTGCGTATGCCATCCAGCATAATCTGGGGATAGACGTCACCACCGAGTATGACGTCCACGGGTTCATTGACGAAGAACCTCTTATCCGCCAACGTGAGATCTGGGAAAGCCTGTCGAGTTAGTGCGCTAATATGGCAAGTCGGCAAGTTTCCCGTTAATTTCGGCAGAACCATCATGTTCGTTGTGATCGATATAAGTGGGTCAATTTGGTGACCGCAACTCGACACAACATGCTTCCTTCACTTGCGCAGATACGGTGTTGTTGATGCCTGACACCTGGGCATTTATCTTCCGCACTGGCAAGTTGATTCTGCGCTTCAGCCTTTCTGTGATGAAAGAGCACTCTGACCCGGAGTCGATGAGTGCTCTTGCGGCATAAGTAACGCCGCTGTAATTTATGTTTATTTGTGCCGTTCCTAATAAGACACCTTTGTCGCTGTTAGCGAAGCACGACTGTACTTGAGTCGTTGGCTTGCCTTTCGACTTGTTGAAGTTGCGTTTCTGCTGCGCTTGCCTGGACGTAGACGGAATCTCGTCCGATGGCGTAGATGAGCCTCTTTGGCTGCTAGGCTGCACTGTCCTCACATGTAGGAGTGTGTGATGCCTCGCGTGGCACGTGCTGCAGTTGAATGCACTGGTGCATTGCGACACTAAATGCCCAAAGCCGAGGCAATTGATGCAGCGATTGTTGCGCTTAGCGAACTTGATCCTGTCCGCCGGTGCCATGTTAAGAAACATGGGGCAAGATCTTAATTTGTGATCTGCGCTTTTGCACATCAGACATGTTGATTTCTCAACGCTTACTTGGAAGGCGCCGAGTCTGTTCTGATGGCTATTGTTGTTGTATTTATTCTGTGTGGGTGCACTGACAGGCTTTACAGAATTGGACGATTTCTTGGCACGTTCTATTGCCTCTAAATCACGGTATCTATTAGTGAGGAAGTTGTCCAATTCCTCCCACTTTGACGTCTTTGTCTTGTTCTTTACAGACTGTTCCCACAGGGCCAATGTTGCTTGTGGCAGTCTCTTAGAACAAATGCGGATTATGATTGGGTCCCAGTTCCCAATGTCCACTTTATTGGCTGTCAGGCAGGAGATGCAGCTGTTGATCTCCCGCTGTAGCCATTTTATCGAGCTTGAACACTCTTTGTCGATTGACGGTAAGTCGAGCAGTATGTCGACTTGGGTTTCGACAAGAATTCGCTCATTCTCGTACATGTCCGTCAAACCCTTCCATGCCATTGCAAAACCATCATTTGTAAGAGGGCATTTCGACACAATAACCTTCGCCTCCCCTTGTGTCTTTTTGTTGAGGTGGTACAATTTCTCAACTGGTGACAGGCGCTTGCTCTTGATGTATACGGCCGTGAACATATCCCGGAATGTTGGCCATGAAAGGTAGTCCCCTTTGAAACACATCAGTATCGCAAGGCGGAAGGGAGTGGTTATTATCTACCTCAGCAGATTTTTCTGTGTCTTTGGGGGTTGAGAGGATCTCAGACATATCCTTCATATTTCAGACATGGTGTCAAAGAGAAAGATGCTCAGTATGCTTTGACATTTCATCATGAATAGACTTACTAACGAGCAACGCTTGCAAATCATTGAATTTTATTACCAAAATCAGTGTTCGGCAGAAAATCCGCTTTTTTATCGACAAATTTTGTTCAGCGATGAGGCTCATTTCTGGTTGAATGGCTACGTAAATAAGCAAAATTGCCGCATTTGGGGTGAAGAGCAACCAGAAGCCGTTCAAGAACTGCCCATGCATCCCGAAAAATGCACTGTTTGGTGTGGTTTGTACGCTGGTGGAATCATTGGACCGTATTTTTTCAAAGATGCTGTTGGACGCAACGTTACGGTGAATGGCGATCGCTATCGTTCGATGCTAACAAACTTTTTGTTGCCAAAAATGGAAGAACTGAACTTGGTTGACATGTGGTTTCAACAAGATGGCGCTACATGCCACACAGCTCGCGATTCTATGGCCATTTTGAGGGAAAACTTCGGAGAACAATTCATCTCAAGAAATGGACCCGTAAGTTGGCCACCAAGATCATGCGATTTAACGCCTTTAGACTATTTTTTGTGGGGCTACGTCAAGTCTAAAGTCTACAGAAATAAGCCAGCAACTATTCCAGCTTTGGAAGACAACATTTCCGAAGAAATTCGGGCTATTCCGGCCGAAATGCTCGAAAAAGTTGCCCAAAATTGGACTTTCCGAATGGACCACCTAAGACGCAGCCGCGGTCAACATTTAAATGAAATTATCTTCAAAAAGTAAATGTCATGAACCAATCTAACGTTTCAAATAAAGAACCGATGAGATTTTGCAAATTTTATGCGTTTTTTTTTTTAAAAAAAGTTATCAAGCTCTTAAAAA